TACTATCAAACTGCTACCTAATACTGATAATGCTAACCCAAATTGAATTACTTCCAATGGAAATTAAACAAATGTTGGTCCAAAATGTGATTTCCCTATATAAACTATAGTAAAGTTTACCCCCTCCCAAGGGGGAAACGTGAGACCCCAGGGTCAAGAAATTCACAATTTTGGTAAAGCACCTTAAGACCCTTCCATCTATGAAGAGTATTTGATTCTACCATATCTGGGTCTTGAGAAGAAGATTTTTGAAATTTTAGTCAATTTGACCCTTTTTGGCCCCGCCCCTCAGGCCCCTGGGGACTTGGGACTATACCAGCCACTATTTTTGTTGACCTTTGTCCATGGAAGGTTCCTGCAAAATTTCATTGAAATTGGATCAGGGGTTTTGGAGAAGAAATCGAAAATGTAAATTGTTTACGGACGGACGACGGACGATGACGGACAAAAGGCGATCGCAATAGAGGAAAGAAGCGAAAAGATCAAACTGGTTTGTTTCACCTGAGACAAAGTCTCAAGTGACCTAAAAATTATAAAAATAAAACTGTACTAAAATTGGTATAAGCATGATGAAGTGGGCTATGTGAGCTTCACATTTGAAAAAAAAAAGATTTTTTTGGTTCCAGAATAAAATTTTGGCCATAATCATGAAAAGCTAGCTTTACAGGAGGTAGCACACGACGCAAAATTGCAAAAAATCAAGTTTTACAACTTTACTGGGACCCAGATAATTCTGCAACCAGGTAGGTAATCTTTAATTTCAGACAGAACTTAGGAAAAAAAATACTAGTTGCGGGGGTCAAATTTTGGGTCAAAAATAGCACACAAGTGACATACATAGATAAAAGAGGTTTATACACTTCTCAGTACTTTATATGTATTGTAAATGTAATGCAGTTTACAAATATATATACATGTATACATGTGTTGTGTAGGGTAAATCCGCTGTGTTTTCATTTCCTCGACATGTGCCTTGTTTATCAGAGTCGGGCCATTTCTACTGTATACTGCTACCTTTGTACCATCTTCATTAGTTCTTTGTCAGTTTGATCTTTTCGCTTCTTTCCTCTAATCTGTTTGATCGAGTCATGTTAACAGTAAATGCACCTTGAGGTAACTTTTGATCTAAACTTAATACTGATGTGTATGAAAGCCAACCTTCAAAGTGAGTTTGTCATTTCATATATTTACTAGTACAGTCCTTTTTTTCTTTTTTTTTTCAAACATTTTACTTCCTCAGCACATTTAGGATACTGCCGGGGTTGGGGAGCCCTGGGATCAGCATCTTCACAACCATGTGTCCTCACACAAGAGGGCTGTCATACTTTATTTCATACTTACTAGTAATTATATTATTATTGCTTTATTTTCACTGCCTTATTTAACATTTTTACTTACATTCAAACTTACATTCAAAGTTACCGTACAGATTATCCTTACATACATATATGCATACACTCCCTTTGCCTCGCCTCCAGGTGGATTACCCTGTACTGGGCCTCACTTCCCGAACAAGTCGGTCTTGACCTTGGCTGTGTGTATTAATAGTAGCAAGATGGAAACATGCCCTGCTGTTGTATGACAATATTAGGCAGTCTAAATGAGCCGAAGGGCCATGTGAGCTTATGCCGTACTGCGGCCTCCGTCGTCCGTCCGTCAACTTTTTCTTTTGAACGACTTCTTCTGAAGAACTGTAGGACCTAGGGTCATGATATTTGGTCAGTAGGTACCTGGGATGGAGTGCTATAAAGTTTCCTCATTAAAATGACCTTGACCTACTTTCAAGGTCACAGCGGTCAAATATGTTAAAAATTTCAAACAACAATATCCTAAGACCCATTTGAACTAGAGTCATGATACTTGGGTATGTTATGTAGACCAGCAGTGCAAATATTTTTCTCAATTACAGTAATGAGGTCAAAGGTCAACTTTAAATGCTAGTCGGGGGTCAAATGTCAACTTTGGTTAAAAGCTTTAACAATCTTCTTCTCAAGTTCCATAAGGCCCAGGGTCATGATATTTTGCCAGTAGGTACCTGGGATGGAGTGCTATAAAGTTTCCTCATTAAAATGACCTTAATCTACTTTCAAGGTCACAGCGGATAAATATGTTAAAAATTTCAAACAACAATATCCTAACAACCATTTGAACTAGATTTATGGTACTTGGGTATTTTATGTAGACCAGCAGTGCAAATATTTTTTTCAGTTACAGTTATGAGGTCAAAGGTCAACTTTAAGTGCTAGTTTGGGGTCAAATGTCAACTTTGGTTAAAAGCTTTAACAGTCTTCTTCTCAAGTTCCATAAGGCCCAGGGTCATGATATTTGGCCAGTAAGTACCTTGGATGTGGTGCTATAAAGTTTCCTCATTAAAAAGACCTAGACCTGCTTTGAAGGTCACAGGGGTCAAATATGTTAAAAATTTCAAACAACAATATCCTAAGAACCATTTGAACTAGAGTCATGATACTTGGGTATGTAATGAAGACCAGCAGTCCGAATATTTTTCTCAGTCACAGTTATGAGGTCAAAGGTCAACTATAAATGCAAGTCGGGGGTCAAATGTCAACTTTGGTTTAAAGCTTTAACAGTCTTCTTCTCAAGTTCCATTAGGCCCAGGGTCATGATATTTAGCCAGTAGGTACCTGGGATGGAGTGCTATAAAGTTTCCTCATTAAAATTACCTTGACCTTGAAAATTAAAATTCAAGGTCACTGGGGTCAAATATGTTAAAAACTTCAAAACAACAATATCCTAAAAAACATTTGGACTAGTCATGATACTTAGGTTTGTTATGTAGACCACCTGTGTGAATTGTTTTCTTCATTACAGTAATGAGATCAGCTTACTTGTTAGATCTGTAAAGACGCGAAACTCGTTAAGTTAAAACAGAAAGTAGAAATGTGGATTGCTACGACGAGTAAGTATATGCCGTATAGATATACTAGAAACACTCTGGCCTACAATATTTCGTTATTATTATATTCACTAGTGTATCAGATGCTAGAAGCAAACAGGTTCAGGCCTTTTTTCTGTTGTATTGATTTCGTTTTCCATAAATAGTTTTCCAGATCTTGTTTCAATATATTTATAACATTTATTGATAAGGTTTTGCATTCACTTATGTGGTATGTTCTGTAAATGGAGTATCCTATTAGTGTATATATAATGTTGGGTGTTTCATATACAGGGACGCTGATGTTGTTTCCCATTACTTTAAATTCTAATATTCTGCTTTTGTTTATTTTACATGCTGAATTGACCCAGAGCGTTTTTAAGTAGGAGCATTCTACAAAGTCTTGTAGTCTTCACATTTCCCACAATGTTTACATTTTGGGGTGTTTGAAATTTTCTATTTTTCAAGTTGTTGCTGTGTAGGAACTATTTGATTAATGAGTTTATATTTAAATTGAACAATTCTATTATCGTGTATTTTCTTGAATATGAATTCTGATATTTCAGACCATCTTGATTTTCTTATAGATGTATCAAATGTTTTATTCCACGCTTCATATATATAGGGTTTGATAAATTTCTGTTTTATTAATATGCTGTAGGAAGTTTTGCTGTTTAGCTGTTCTATAGAGATTTTTTTATCGGTAGGGCTGTCTAAAACTTTCAATTGTGTTTTGTAGTGTAATGTTGGGTAGGTTGTAAGTTTGAGTTTATTCACCCATTCCTTCGGTATAGCCTGTTTTAATTGTGTTAGTTCTGACATCCAGTTTCTTTTGTTTTTTAAGTTTGATAAAATCATTATTTGAGAGATGGAACAATTCTCAAAAATATCGTCAATTAGTAGTATACCTGAATTTATCCAGTTAGTAAAAATTAGTACTTTATTTTTGATTTTGATATGTTTGTTTCCCCATATTGGTTGTTTTCTTACTTCCAGCTGATTGATATAATTTTTCGTTTGTTCTCCACCCAGTGTAATCCAAGCTTTGATAACTTCTTGATAAAATAATGGTGTTTCTTTTATTTTTGGTAGAGATTTAATTTCGTCTAGATTCATTTTTAAAATGAGCAGGTCTTTCCCATATTTGTTTAAAAAGTAGTTTGGTATGATTTTCCAGGTCGCAGGAGTGTTTTCTTTTATTAGTGTTTTGACCCATTGATCCTAAATTATAACTTAGGACCAGAGTGACCATTGATCCTAAATTATTACTTAGGACCAGAGTGACCATTGATCCTAAATTATAACTTAGGACCAGAGTGACCATTGATCATGAATTATAATTTAGGACCAGAGTGACCTTTGATCCTGAATTATAACTTAGGACCAGAGAGACCATTGATCCTAAATTATAACTTAGGACCAGAGAGACCATTGATCCTGAATTATAACTTAGGACCAGAGTGAGAATTGATCCTGAATTATAACTTAGGACCAGAGTGACCATTGATCCTGAATAATAACTTAGGACCAGAGTGAGAATTGATCCTGAATGAAAACTATCCAACAATATCAATTCATTTAATTAACAACATCAAGCTATTTAAATGTTCTCCTTATTTTCGACAGAATTCTTTTTGTAGATTTCTCTCTAAACAACTTTGTCCTTACAATTTGAAGCGTGGAAGGCAATAGTGGGTAACAGGATCGTACTCACCTCCTCTCCCAGAAGGGCCTTCACACACATTTCTGTGCAGTCACAAATAGCTGTCAATTCATATCCTCCCTCTAAGGCTAACACGATTTTCCCATCAGCCAACCCCATCAACTCTCGAGTCATGTGACCAAAACCTGTGACAAAACAAATGCAAAATGTTAAAATGACTTTTAGAATAAATCATTATATTTTAAGAAAGTATCAAGACATTGTGACAACAAGATATCCTTTATTAGAAATAATTGATAAGATGTGAAGTTTAAGAATCTATACTGCACTCAACTTTGATTTATTGTAGAGCTATCTCTCTTCAACAACATTTCATTACAATTATCTGTTTGTAGGTTTTACATGTGTCACTTACCAATGAACACAGGTTAAATTACCATTCATAGCACATCATACAGATGTCATTAGTTGAAACTCTTTGAAACAAGAGGCCCAACGGGCCTGCATCGTTCACCTGGTATCAATCTCACACTTGTAATCTTAAAAGTGGACTAAAATACAGCTACAGACAGAATATCAGTGTTTGATTCATAAAAACCTATTAAAAGATTTAAACATGACGCCTGTGACCTTGAATGTCAAACAAGGACATTAGGTTGAAAGAGGATCAAGGTCATTCATTTGACGAACTTGGTAGCTTTTCATCCCATCATGCTTCAGGCCCAATATCAGTACCCTGGGCTTTTCGGTTATTGAGAAGAAGTTGTTTGAAGATTTCAAGACATTTTACCCCCGTGACCTTGAAAGTGGGTCAAGATCATTCATTTGAACAAACTTGGTAGCCTTTCATCCAAGCATGCTACTGGCCTTATATCAGTACCCTTGGCTTTTCGGTTATTGAGAAGAAGTTGTTTGAAGATTTTAAGACATTTGACCCCTGTGACCTTGAAAGTTGGTCAAGGTCATTCATTTGAACGAACTTACTAGCCCTTCATCCCAGCATGCTACAGGCCCAATATCAGTACCCTAGGCCTTTTGGTTATTGAGAAGAAGTCGTTGGAAGATTTCAACATATTTGACCCCTGTGACATTGAAAGTGGGTCTAGGTCATTCATTTGAACAAACTTGGTAGCCCTTCATCCCAGCATGCTACTGGCCAAATATCATCACCCTAGGCCTTTTGGTTTTTGAGAGGAAGTCGTTTGAAGATTTTAAGACATTTGACCCCTGTGACCTTGAAAGTTGGTCAACGTCATTCATTTGAACAAACTTTGTAGCCCTTCATCCCAGCATGCTACAGGCCCAATATAAGTACCCTGGGCCTTTTGGTTATTGAGAAGAAGTTGTTTGAAGATTTAAAGACATTTGACCTCTATGACCTTGAAAGTGGGTCAAGGTCATTCATTTGGATAAACTTGGTAGCCCTTCATCCCAGCATGCTACCGGCCCAATATCAGTACCCTGGTGCTTTTGGTTATTGAGAAAAAGTTGTTTTTTGAAGATTTTAAGACATTTGACCCCTGTGACCTTGAAAGTGGGTCAAGGTCCTTCATTTGAACAAACTTGGTAACCCTTTATCCCAGCATGCTACTGGCCAAATATCATCACCCTAACCCTTTTTGTTATTCAGAAGAAGTTGTTTAAAGTAAAATATTGACGCCAGACGATGGCCGGACGACGGACGGACAGACGACAGACGTCGCACCACGGCATAAGCTCACCTGGTCCGAAAGGGCCAGGTATGCTAAAAAGTATTCATTGATGAAGGAAAGATATGGACAGTTACAGAGTAGACACATTGCCATGAGGGTGTTTACATACATGAAGCTGAGACTTCATAGCCGCCAAGGGGAGCTGCATGCCCCATAGCTGCGTCGAATCCTGACGATACCAACACCATGTCTGGTTGGAACTCCTTAGCCATCGGCATCACTAATGTTCTGAGGGAGAAAATAGAAGCAGTTATTTGAAAAGAACAAAAAGAAAAAGTAAGAAACAGAATTTAAACAACAATGAAATTCACAACAAGAGGCCCAGATGGCCTGTATCGCTCACCTGAATGTGTTTAAAATAATTGGTATGAAGTAAAGATATAGCACTCAATGGTAGGTCCTGTAAATACTTGGGATTTTAAATATTTTAAACATTTACTACTATATGTTCCCTCTAGTGGTCCTCTGCCTGAGGGGGGCCAAAGCATTCTTTCATACAAAATTGAGTCCCCTTTGCCGAAAGATGTTCCACCTAAAATTTGGTTTAAATCCCTCCATTTTACTAAAGGAGAAAGATGTTAAACATTTCCCCCTTTTAGGACCCGCCCCTTTCTTATATACGAAATTCAGTCCACCTTGCATTAGGTTGCCCCTGGCAAATTTTGGCAAAATCCATAGAACTGTTTAGAACTAGTATCATTTTGAAGGAAATGTTGACGGAAGGATAGGGGGTAGGTGGTAGGAGGGATAGGGGGTAGGTGGTAGGAAGGATAGGGGGTAGGTGGTAGGAAGGATAGGGGGTAGGTGAGCTAAATATGTCTTATTGAGACACTGTTTTATCATTTTTTCAGGTTCATGTATAAACCTTTTCACTAACATTTCAAATAAGTTAGATTCATTAACAATTTTTTTTAAAAACAAACTTCAATTTATTACAGAATTCAGATATGTAAAAAGGAAAAGAAAAAGAGACTAGTTATTTTTTCCAGCTGAGAAAAAACATGGACTGAGAATGCTCACCTAAATGCTGCTAGATATTCAGCGTCTTTTAACGGTGGGTTCAGACCTCCTCCAAAGGCAATATTGACGTTGAATCCTAGTCCCTTACCCTCCCCACATTCTCCGGGTGAGCCAGTGCCCGGAAAAAAGTTGCCATTGTCGTGACGATGCATTGAAATATACAACACATTTGGATCAGTGTAAAACATCTGCTGAGTTGAGTTACCATGGTGAACATCCTGTAATGACAAAATCAAAATATCGTTAAGAGTGGAATCTTGTTAATTTGATGTCTGATTCAATTCTGGAATAACTTTTCAAGAATAATGAAATGTCAGTCATCAGGAATAGTATTTGATAATCAGGGTCCAACATGTCTAATGTGTTTAGGATGAAACCAACTTTGACCCAGAAATAAGAGGAGATGATAATCTTACTGTTACACTGTCAGGGGTGTCATACCTTACTGTAACACTGTCAGGGGTGTCATACCTTACTGTAACACTGTCAGGGGTGTCATACCTTACTGTAACACTGTCAGGGGTGTCATACCTTACTGTAACACTGTCAGGGGTGTCATACCTTACTGTAACACTGTCAGGGGTGTCATACCTTACTGTAACACTGTCAGGGGTGTCATACCTTACTGTAACACTGTCAGGGGTGTCATACCTTACTGTAACACTGTCAGGGGTGTCATACCTTACTGTAACACTGTCAGGGGTGTCATACCTTACTGTAACACTGTCAGGGGTGTCATACCTTACTGTAACACTGTCAGGGGTGTCATACCTTACTGTAACACTGTCAGGGGTGTCATACCTTACTGTAACACTGTCAGGGGTGTCATACCTTACTGTAACACTGTCAGGGGTGTCATACCTTACTGTAACACTGTCAGGGGTGTCATACCTTACTGTAACACTGTCAGGGGTGTCATACCTTACTGTAACACTGTCAGGGGTGTCATACCTTACTGTAACACTGTCAGGGGTGTCATACCTTACTGTAACACTGTCAGGGGTGTCATACCTTACTGTAACACTGTCAGGGGTGTCATACCTTACTGTAACACTGTCAGGGGTGTCATACCTTACTGTAACACTGTCAGGGGTGTCATACCTTACTGTAACACTGTCAGGGGTGTCATACCTTACTGTAACACTGTCAGGGGTGTCATACCTTACTGTAACACTGTCAGGGGTGTCATACCTTACTGTAACACTGTCAGGGGTGTCATACCTTACTGTAACACTGTCAGGGGTGTCATACCTTACTGTAACACTGTCAGGGGTGTCATACCTTACTGTAACACTGTCAGGGGTGTCATACCTTACTGTAACACTGTCAGGGGTGTCATACCTTACTGTAACACTGTCAGGGGTGTCATACCTTACTGTAACACTGTCAGGGGTGTCATACCTTACTGTAACACTGTCAGGGGTGTCATACCTTACTGTAACACTGTCAGGGGTGTCATACCTTACTGTAACACTGTCAGGGGTGTCATACCTTACTGTAACACTGTCAGGGGTGTCATACCTTACTGTAACACTGTCAGGGGTGTCATACCTTACTGTAACACTGTCAGGGGTGTCATACCTTACTGTAACACTGTCAGGGGTGTCATACCTTACTGTAACACTGTCAGGGGTGTCATACCTTACTGTAACACTGTCAGGGGTGTCATACCTTACTGTAACACTGTCAGGGGTGTCATACCTTACTGTAACACTGTCAGGGGTGTCATACCTTACTGTAACACTGTCAGGGGTGTCATACCTTACTGTAACACTGTCAGGGGTGTCATACCTTACTGTAACACTGTCAGGGGTGTCATACCTTACTGTAACACTGTCAGGGGTGTCATACCTTACTGTAACACTGTCAGGGGTGTCATACCTTACTGTAACACTGTCAGGGGTGTCATACCTTACTGTAACACTGTCAGGGGTGTCATACCTTACTGTAACACTGTCAGGGGTGTCATACCTTACTGTAACACTGTCAGGGGTGTCATACCTTACTGTAACACTGTCAGGGGTGTCATACCTTACTGTAACACTGTCAGGGGTGTCATACCTTACTGTAACACTGTCAGGGGTGTCATACCTTACTGTAACACTGTCAGGGGTGTCATACCTTACTGTAACACTGTCAGGGGTGTCATACCTTACTGTAACACTGTCAGGGGTGTCATACCTTACTGTAACACTGTCAGGGGTGTCATACCTTACTGTAACACTGTCAGGGGTGTCATACCTTACTGTAACACTGTCAGGGGTGTCATACCTTACTGTAACACTGTCAGGGGTGTCATACCTTACTGTTACACTGTCAGGGGTGTCATACCTTACTGTTACACTGTCAGGGGTGTCATCCTTATAATGAATGCCATAGTAACTGCTATTTTCTTTATTCCAAATGTTTCGAAAAATATTATGGACAGAAAGTTTTGAATTTGGTCATTTCAAATGCCTACCTCGTTATTTATGGAGAATCACCATATTTATATTTTGATTATATGTCTTATTGACTTTATTTTAACGGAATTTTGAGAGCTATCTAAGAATATTTCAGGTCTATTTTAAGAACAGTCCATATGTATTATTTAGAATAGATGTATCTTTAAAATGAAAGTCTAAACATTGTACTTTTTTATCCAATGAAAACCTTAAGTTTTTCCATTCATTTATTTTTTATGAATTTAACATATTTTCTTATCACAATCAAATCAATACCTTGTCGTGTAAAAATTGCTAGACATTAGGTCATACTGTCTCTAAACGGGAAATAGCGCACATGTTGTTAGGGAATGGCTTTGGTGTAAGAGTTACTTCCCTTCTATTGTAAGATTGTGTATTTCTTCTGATAATGGTCAACTATATTGACATACCATGTTGTTTATAATAAGACATAAGTGTTTCCTCTATTGTAACTTTACACATTTATCTTCACAGACTTAAAAGCATTTTCAAATGATTAAATAAAATTATTTTTTCCCCACAAATCATGGTAAACAGGCTTTCCTTTAGCTGGCACATAAATCTAATAAACATACCCAGTCAACAATTAAAATCCTTTCTAGTTTGCATTTTTCCCTCAACTGTTTGGCAGCAATGGCTATAGAGTTGAAGTAGCAGAAACCCCTGGAAGAATAAACAAATAAAGTTCTGATAATTTTGGCATTCAAATGTAGCTTCAACCATTACAGCCAAGTAAGTAATCCTTACACACCCTGCTGATACACTATGCATCCTCCCAAGGTACATAAAGTAAAACGAGTATCAAAACAAGAGGCCTAATGGGTCTGAATCACTCACCTGGTATTTTAATCCCACGCTTGTAATCTTAAATGTGGACTAAAATAAAGCTATAGGCAAAATATCAGTGTTTGATTCTATTAAAAGATTTATACATATGACTCATGTGACCAAACAAGGACATTAAGTTGAACAAACTTTATAGCCTTTCATTCCAACATTTGACCCCTGTGACCTTGTAAATGGGCGAAGGTCATTCATTTTAACAAACTTGGTAGCCCTTCATCCCATCATGCTACTGGTTTTTTGGTTACTGGGAAGAAGTTGTTCAAAGTAAAAAGTTGACGCCAGACAGATGCCGGACAGATGCGCCGCGGCATAAGCTTACTGCCCTTTGGGCAGGTGAGCTCAAACTTTAAGATATAGTTCAGAATAAAAGCGAATTCATTTACAGGGAAAAAGAAAGTGTACTTTAAGTGTTACAATTATCAACAATCCAAATTCTATCTAAATATGTGATGAGGTTGATATAGCTTCATGACGGCTCATCTCCACCAATCTTTATTTATGAAAAAAAATAGTCAATTACTCTAAACCACTGATAAAATCAGTTTAGATAAATCATGAAAAGCTATTTCAGATACATGTCATCTTTGAATTTTCAATCTTGACAGCAATAACATACATTATTTTAACACAAAAAAGCCCTGAATTTTGCCCCGATATACTTACATGGCTTGGTGAGATTCTGCATGGTGACCAGGTGGTCGAACGATGGCAAAACCATTCTGGATAAAAAAACAATGCTGACTTTGAAAGAAGCAGTTTGGGGCCAAACTGATTTGAGTTTTTTTTATGTAAAACCCATTTTTATGATAAAACTACTTACCACGTCCAATTACTTTGCAAATGATCTCCAACTACCAGTTCTTTAACTCCAAAAGTAAAATTTCAAATGCCCCGTGCAAATACGAAACTACTCCCTGTCCAAAAGCGGACATACGGGTGTAGGATGCGTGCGCCCGGTTGAGGAAGGATAAGACCTTCCCAAACGTTTATGAGGCTGTCTACGACCGTTATGAGACCGGGTAAAAGAGACCTCTGATCTACTAAGGAGGGGAAAAGTCAGGAATACTGCTTCTTACCCCCAGAGGGTTTGGCACACTGCTTGCCCTTACCCTTGGCTTTGGCCTTAAAGGTAGACTTAGCCTTAGCCGCAGACTGAGTCTGACGAGGCCTCGACTTAGCCTTCTTCTTGGCCTGGCCCGAACCCCGAGGGGTTCATGCCTTACCAGCAGCCGACACTTTTGAAATCAAAAGTGCCGAGGCTACTGGATCTTCCTTAACTTCCTTCAGAATAGAAGAAAGGGCACCCCCAAAGAGCCAAGGACCCTCAATGTCTTACCTTTAAGCACAGAGGCTCGCCTGGTAAGAATCAAATTGGCCAGCAGTGTACACTGCAAAGCTGCAGAGGTCTTTAGACAGTTGTGCAAGGATGAGGTCAACCTATCCTGCACAGCCCGTCTGTCACTCTCATCAACCTCTGACTCCCTGAATGGCACTTCCGATAAACGGAAAAGGGTCACCGTCAGGAAATCAAAATATGAGAGTACCTGGAGAGAAAGCCGCAGGATTTTCTCCAGTTTGTGGTGTTCCTTGGAAGAGAATACCACCTGGTCAGTCGCCGGTCCTGGCCATTGCCGAAGCTTGTGAGTTTCCAGTTTAGCTGGTTGACACTCTAGTTTGGCGTTTTGAATGGCATAGTCTGAGGACCTAACCTCAGACAAATCTGCCAAACTCAACTGTAGGCCAGCTGCACCAGATGCACGAGAGGACGAAGCAGCCTTCTCTGCTATCCTAGCATGGGCGACAGCCAAAGCCGAGGAAACAACAGAACCCTCAGGCAAAGACTTGTTGGAACAAGCTGAAACCTAAGGCGGAACAAGCTGACTCAGCAGCGTTGTCGCCTCTGGAATGGCAGACGCCACAGAGGAAGGACAAACCTCCTCCCCGAGGATTCATGCCAGCCAGAGCATAGTGGGCTTCAGCCTCAACCTCAGGCTCTACCTCAATCTCAGCTGACACCTCATCATCTTCAGATTCCGAAGAATCTGAATCATGACAAGGAAAAGGAGGTTCTGACTGAATCTCAGTCATCACACTCCCAGGTGACCTACGAGAGGCGGGGATATTGATCTTAGAGCGAGATGTCCTAAAAGCACTAATAGGTCTTTTAAACACAACTTCCTCCCCAGCCCCAGAGGTGGGTAGGAGCTGAGCATTCAGCGAGCCCCCTACCTGCTGAGGTGACACCGGTCCCAACCCTGATTAAATCCCGGAGGATTACCTGAGTTGTACCCAAATCCCTGAGGAAATGGTGCCCTAGGATCATAAGGAAAGGAGTGACCCCAGTACTGACCAAACTGACTAGTGGGTACAATGAAAGGAACAGCCTGACCAGAAACCAGAAATGAAAGGCCTAGGGCCAGACATATGACCAGTTTGCTGCTGGAAAGCACCAAAACCATGATGCACAGTACCCGAAGCATGAGGCCCAAAGGACTCATACCCGAGACCATGGGGTGTCGCCCGACTCTTGTCAGACTTGTCACCTTCTCCATTACCCATGGGCGCGGCCCACGGGTTCCATATGGTGCAAGCTGGCACGGAATCGACCCTGACAGGGTTGATACCAGATACTTGACCAGGAAAGAGAAGGGACCGTGAAGAGTCATAAGAGATGGCAGTGCTGCTACACTCTGAGGGGCCCAGATAATTTAAAGAATTACCACTCCCCATCACAGCAGAGGACCCAAAGTCAGAGATTGGAGGAGGGCCCACACTTTCCAGAGATGAACTAACACCAATGGAAGGGGAACCAAACTCCCTGGCAACAGGATAGCAAACACCTGTGCTCTCTAGGCTAGGGCCAGCCAAGGGCTGGATAGTCTTGGGACCTCTTACCACGTTTGTCAGACTTGGAGGAGTCCTTCATGGTTCACAAACAACAAGATAAACAAAAAAATCAGCCTTTATTTGTAAAATAAAATAATTTTAGTTCACAAAAATCACTGTAAACGAAAACGAAAGTGAAAGTAAACAGTCACGAAAAACGGACGGGGACCAAAACACGTGGCAATGGTACCGATGTTTACAACGAAATACGGTGAATAAAGGCAAATATATATATATAAACAATAGCAGGGAAACTTTTATAATAAATGAAGAATGAAAACAAACAATGACACATGTTACCGCCCTCGGAAAACTTGAACGAAGTCCAGGGTAAAAATAACAGCCATGTGCTTCTTTCGAGTTGAAGAAAGAGGAAGTTGGAGGTGCGCGCGTATCTTACACCCGTTTGTCCTGTTTTGACAGGGAGTAGTTTCGTATTTGCGCGGGGCATTTGAAACTTTACTTGGGGAGTTAAAGAACTGGTAGTTGGAGATCATTTGCATTATAATTGGACGTGGTAAGTATTGTTTTTGATAAAAATTAGGATCACAATAGTTAACAGGCAAAGGTAAACAACATTCATTTTTATATAGAAAAGCTGACAACATGATTTCTGACTTGAGGATATTGTCACTACCTTACCTATGAAAAGACATGATTTCTGTATTAAGGATATAGTCACTACATTACTTATGAAAAGACATGGTTTCTGTCTTAAGGATATAGTCACTACACCTTACTTATGAAAAGACATGATTTCTGTCTTAAGGATATAGTCACTACCTTACTTATGAAAAGACATGGTTTCTGTCTTAAGGATATAGTCACTACCTTACCTATGAAAAGACATGATTTCTGTCTTAAGGATATAGCCATTACCTTACCTATGACAAGAGGCCCAAGGGCCTTAGCGGTCACCTGAGTATCATAGATACTGGTAGCTTTATTTTATTGTTAAGATGTGATGTGGAAATCAGCATGTAAACTAAGTGAAATACAATACTTGTCATGTCATCAAAGGATAAGAATTTTAAAATATTTGTAAATGTTCCCTTTGGGGCCCCGCTCTAACCCCTGGGGATGGGGCAGGAATTCCAAGTTTACAATTTGATACCGTCATCCACCAAAGATGTTTCTGACCAAGTAAAAATAATTTCCAACAGAAAATTGTCAAAATATACCCAAAAGTGTTGTTTCCCTATATAAACTATAGTAAACTTTACCCCCTCCCCAAGGGAGAACGGATAGCTCGGGGGTCCTGAAATTTACAATTTAAATAAAGCCCCTGATGATCTTTCCATCCATGCAGAGAAAATGACTGTAATACCTCTGAGACTGGAGGAGAAGATTTTTGAAATATTGGTTAATTTTCCCTTTTGGGCCCCGCCCTGGCCCCTAGGGTTGGGGTAGGAATCCCAATTTTACAATTTGATAGCCTCATCTACCAAGGATAATTCTGACCAAGTTTGAAAAAATTCCATCCACTGGTTCTTGAGAAGAAGTTGATAATGTAAAAGTTTACGCACGACGAACGACGGACGACGACGGACGGAAAGTGATTGGAATAGGTCACTTGAGCAAAGCTCAGGTGACCTAAAAAGACATGATTTCTGTCTTAAGGATATAGTCATTACCTTACTAATGAAAAGACATGATTTCTGTCTAAAGGATATAGTCACTACCTTACCTATGAAAAGACATAACTTATGTCTTACAAATATAGTCACTACCTTACTTCTGAAAAGACATGATGTCTGACTTAAGGATATAGTCACTATACCTTACTTACGAAAAGACATGATGTCTGACTTAAGGATATAGTCACCACAGGGATCTGATAATTGATTACAGCTATATTTGGACCTAAACTAAGGTGTTCAGAGTAATTTTACGTTTTTTGGGATCAGATGAACTGTTGGTTAAAATGCCAACCCCAATGATAGGTTAAGAGAGGGAAGCTCGCGATGTTGAAAAATTGACCCCACCTCTATATCCTTTCTAGTTAACATATAAAACAAGAGGCCTAATGGGCCTGAATCACTTACCTGGTATTAATCTCACACTTGTAATCTTAAAAATGGACTAAAATACAGCTACAGGCAGAATATCAGTGTTTGATTCATAAGAACCTATTAAAAGATATAAACGTATGACGCCTGTGACCTTGAATGTCGAACAAGGACATTAGGTTGAACAGAGTTTTAAGTCTTCCATCCCGTCATGCTTTTTACAAAATATCATTACCCTGGACCTTTTGGTTATACAGAACAAGTCATTTAAAGATTTAAACATATATTGACGACTGTGACCTTGAATATGGACGAAGGTCATTCATTTTGACAAAATTGGTAGCCCTTCATCCACGCCTGTTAATGACCAAATATCATCACACTTGGCCTTTGGTTAATCGAGAAGAAGTCGTTTAAAGGTTTTAAACATATTTGACCCCTGTGACCTTGAGTATATGTAAAGGTCATTCATTTGAACAAACCTTATAGCCCTATATCTCAGCATGCTACTGGCCAAATATCATTATCATAGGCCTCTTGGTTATTCAGAAGAAGTTGTATAAAAGTTTTAAACATATTTGACCCCAGTGACCTTGAATATAAGTAAATATCATTCATTTGAATAAACCTTGTTGCCCTTTATACCAGCATGCTACTGGCCAAATATCATCATCCTAGGACTTTAGGTTATTGAGAAGAAGTTGTTTAAAGGTTTTAAACATATATGACCCCTGAGACCTTAAAAATAAGTAAAGGTCATTCATTTGAACAAACTTGGTAACCCTTCATCCTAGCATGGTACTGGCCAAATATCATCACTCTGGGCATTTTGGTTATTCAGGAGAAGTTGTTTAAAGGTTTTTAACATATTGACCCCTGTGACCTTAAATATAAGTCAAGGTCATTCATTTGAACAAACTTGGTAGCCCTTCATCCCAGCCTGCTCCTGGCCTAATATCATCATCCTAGGACTTGCGGTTATTTAGGAAAAGTTGTTTAAATGTTTTTAACATATTTGACCCCTGTGACCTTGAATATATGTCAAGGTCATTCATTTGAACACCCCCGGTAGCCCTTCATCCCAGCCTGATCCTGGCCAAATATCATCACTCTGGGCATTTTGGTTATTCAGGAGAAGTTGTTTAAAGGTTTTTAACACTTTTGACCCCTGTGACCTTGAGTATAAGTAAAGGTCATTCATTTGAACAAACTTGGTAGCCCTTCATCCTAGCATGTTACTGGCCAAATATCATTATTCTAGGTCTCTTAGTTATTAAGAAGAAGTTGTATAACAAAAAAATAAGATGATTGACCCATGTGACCTTGAAAACATATGAAGGTCATTCATTTGAACAAACTTGGTTGGCTTTCATATCAGCAATCTACTGGCCAAATATCATCACTCTGGGCATTTTGGTTATTCAGAAGAAGTTGTTTAAAGTTTTTAACATATTTGACCCATGTGACCTCGAAAATAGGTGAACGTCATTTATTTGAACAAGCTTGTTAGCCCTCCATCCCAGTTTGCTTCTGGCCAAATATCATCACCCTAGGCCTTTTGGTTATTAAGAAGAAGTTGTTTAAAGCAAAATATTGACACCGGACGACGGATGCTGCACCATGGCATAAGCTCCCTTGGCCCTTTGGGCCAGGTGAGCTAAAAATGTTCAATACAGTTGGAAAGATGGACAATTTTTCTTTTAAAATCCTTGTAATAATGTACATCAAATGTTTTCTTGTTCCTCAGACATAATAATAATAATGATAATTTGAGGTTCTTATATACCGCTATATCACAACCTAGTTCGTAGGTCGTCTCAAAGCGGTTCACAAATTATCCTCCCGGTTATAGGGCCTTTGCAACCAGCCAAAATCTTTCTAAACTCCCTGGGGAGCATACAGCTGGTGCCGCCATTTCGGCGCTCATAACTAGCATTCTACAATTCTAGCATTGCCCAACCACATACTCATTTACAGCTGAGTAGACTGGAACAAGCAGAGTAAAGTATCTTGCTGAAAGCTACAACACAGTGCCGTGCCGTGACTATAACCCTTCGGTTACGAGCCAGGCGTCCTACCACACGACTACTGTGCCTCCTTGGATCTTTGTTTCCTCCAAAAACAAAGTTTTTCGCATTCGAAACATGTGTTGATTGGATGATTATTTTAGGGGAAAAGAAGCTTGCTTCCAGCCAATCACACCACAGGTTTCGGCACGTGGCCGACATCAACCTCATGAATATGCAAAAATATTTCTGTGAAAATTGGAAATGACTCTATATTGGCCAATTTGTACATAAAGATGCCACATGTTAGCGATTATTAAGTGTCTTTTTGTAAACATGTGCATGCGCCAGTTAAACAACTTTAGTTCCTAACCATGTTTAATACCCTGACAGAACACAGCTAGTGCACGGAATATTACTGTCACATCGCTGACAGACACATGTGTATTGTCATGATATTACTTTGATTACACTTTGATTATATAATCGCGACCTGGCCACCGATCCCTGATTTAATACTTAATTGATATGTTTCCTGTACAATTGCCAGAACAAAAATGTATGTCCAGGTGGTCGATCAAACTATTAATCCGTAATTGCAATTTCAGTCCACCCTCCACATTCTGACTTGACTGTTTGCCACAAATTTTGCCTTCACTTACCTTCAACTCCCTGTTGGCAACTCTTGTAGCTAACTCTGTCACACATCCTGCAGCCTGAAATATCAAATGATATTTTACAAATAAAGTGAAGATCAAAAGCAGCTATCATTAAAACTTTTTCTACCAATGTACATATTCTTGGTTGGAGGAATAGATGAATATATGTGTTGTATGCACTTTCACTTATGTTACCTCGCTATCCCCATATTCATAGTCCGTTCCAAATGTCCAGTTTGACCACTTAAATTGTTCGGGAATGCCCTGTTAAAAATAGCGCCAATAACGTCACCTGGCAGTTTTGAAATGAGGCAGTAAACACAGGTGGTCTGACTGAGATGCAAAGTTTCCAAAGGGGCCACTAGAGAGGGGCCTTTAGGCAACTGCAACTTCTTATCGCACTATGAAACCAAGCAATATGATTTCTTAGTCTGTGTTGAAACCTACTGAATCAGTAATTATCCATCATCAGAAGTTAATTGCACACATGCCAATATTCAGAATTTAAATGGAAGAAATATTTGTTGGCATCTCAGCATTATTTATAGACACTGGGAAATATCTATGACAGGAATGCGACTGGTACAAATGGGTAAGCAAATTAAGACCTTCCCTCAACCATGGGACAAACCTTTCTGTAAAAAGGAATAATCAAGAGACGAATATCCTTTTTCAAATGTTTTCATAAGTGTATGTATGTATTGACAAGTATAAACAAGAGGCCCAATGGGCCTGCATCGCTCACCTGGTATTAATCTCACACTTGTAATCTTAAAAGTGGACTAAAATACAGCTACCGGCAGAATATCAGTGTTTGATTCATAATAACCTATTAAAAGATTTAAACATATGATGCATGTGACCTTGAATGTCGAACAAGGACATTAGGTTGAACAGAGTTTATAGTCTTCCAACCAAGAATGCTTCTGGCCAAATATCATCACCCTTGGCATTTTGCTTATTAAGAAGTTGTTTAACAGTTTTTAACATATTTGACCCTGTGACCTTGAATATATGTCAAGGTCATTCATTTGAACAAACTTGGTAGTTTTTCATCCCAGCATGTTACTGGCATTATCATAGGCCTCTTGGTTGTTCAAAAGAAGTTGTTTAAAGGTTAAAACATATTCAACCTTTGTGACCTTGAATATAAGTCAAGGTCATTCATTTGAACAAACTTGGTAGCCATTCATCCGAGCATATTACTGGCAAAATATCATCAGCCTGGGCCTATTGGTTATTGAGAAGAAGTTGTTGAAAGTAAAAAGTTGACGCCTGACGGCCGGACCCTCAACAACGGACGCCGGTGTCATGCATAAAAAGTACCCCCCTACCAAAAAGTATCCGGATACTTTTTATACCTGCATAAAAAGTACCCCCCTTGTGATAAAAAAAATATTTATCTATTTTCAAACCAATTGAGTTCAGAATTTGATCAGGATGTAACAGTTGAATATTTATCCACCCCTACCCAAACAATCCCCACCCCCGGGGCCAGGAAATGATGCCAAAATATTTTTTAAACACTGGTTTGGAGAGTCATGAAGAAACATTTACAGTTATGTTATAGTCATTACCCAACCTATATTCAATTCCCCAC